TTCTTTATAAAGTAGAGAGAGACAGAGAGACGGAGGGGGGGGGGAGAGAGAGAGAGAGAGAGAGACAGAGAGAGAGAAAGAGAGAAAGAGAGAGAGCCAGAGAGAGAGAGACAGAGAGAGACAGTGACAGACAGAGAGAGAGAGAGAGAGACAGAGAGAGAGACAGAGAGAGAGGAGAAAGAGAGAGAGACAGAGAGAGAGAGACAGAGAGAGAGAAAGAGAGAAAGAGAGAGAGCCAGAGAGAGAGAGACAGAGAGAGAGAGACAGAGACAGACAGAGAGAGAGAGAGACAGAGAGAGAGAGACAGAGGGAGAGAGAAAGACAGAGAGAAAGACAGAGAGAAAGACAGAGAGAGAGAGAGAGAGAGAGAGAGAGAGAGAGAGTAAACTGTTCTCAGACACATTGTTATTTTATTTTAAACACACTGAGCCGTTACTCCAAACTGTAAACCCAGCGTATAGAGGTTCAGTGAATGTGGTGTTGAAAGTGTGTAGATGGGTCAGTTTATCAGTGGAGACTCTGTAGAAGGACAGAGAGCCGGCCGGACAGTCCAGATACACTCCTACTGTCCCAGAGCTGGAGGGATGAGCAGAGAGATCAGTGCTGTTATTATTGTGACAGACAGAGTAACTGTTATTAGAGCATCTCAGAATCCAGGACTTTACATTCCCTCCAAACTGACAGTCATCACTGTTTCCTTTCCTGCTGATTGATTTATATGTTACTGCTATATAAACCATCCCGCTCCACTCAGCCTCCCAGTAACAGCGTCCAGTCAGACTCTCTCTACACAGAACCTGATCCCAGTAATCAAATCTCTCTGGATGATCAGGATACGACTGTGAAGATCCCACATTCTCCACCTTTCTGTTCCCGTCAGACAGAGAGAGACGTCTGTGCACTGTGTTTGGATCCAGAGTGACCTCACAGGAATCTGCACACAAGAAGAGACATTAGAGTGACACTGTGTGTGTGTGAGACAGTGTGTGTGTGTGAGTGTGTGAGTGTGTGTGTGTGTGTGTGTGTGAGAGACAGTGCGTGTGTGTGTGAGACAGTGTGTGTGTGTGAGTGTGTGAGTGTGTGTGTGTGTGTGTGTGTGAGAGACAGTGCGTGTGTGTGTGTGTGGGTGTGAGACAGTGTGTGTGTGTGTGTGTGTGTGTGTGAGTGTGTGTGTGTGTGAGTGTGTGTGTGTGTGTGAGTGTGTGTGTGTGTGTGTGTGTGAGTGTGTGTGTGTGTGTGTGTGTGTGTGTGTGTGAGACAGTGTGTGTGTGTGTGTGTGTGAGTGTGTGTGTGTGTGTGTGTGTGTGTGTGTGAGTGTGAGACAGTGTGTGTGTGTGTGTGTGTGTGAGTGTGAGTGTGTGTGAGTGTGTGTGTGAGTGTGTGTGTGTGTGTGAGACAGTGTGTGTGTGTGTGTGTGTGTGAGTGTGTGTGTGTGTGTGTGAGTGTGAGTGTGAGACAGTGTGTGTGTGTGTGTTTGTGTGTGTGTGTGTGTGTGTGAGTGTGTGTGTGTGAGTGTGAGTGTGTGTGTGTGAGTGTGAGTGTGTGTGTGTGAGTGTGAGACAGTGTGTGTGTGTGTGTGAGAGTGTGAGTGTGTTTGTTTTTATTACATGGTGGGGGCCACAACACGTTAGCACACTCACGGTGTGGGGACCGAAAACAATGTTTTCAGCCAAAATGCGCCAGTTGACTCAGGAGACCATGCTGATATGGGTGGTGCAGTTTTTTTCTTGGACCCCACCATACGCAAAAACATGAGAAGTGTGTAGAAGCGTGCTTACACACATGCTCACCGATGCCCCCGAGGTATCTTGTTGGTACTGCACCCTACCCTAAAAGTGTGCTTAGGATGCGGACCGTAAGCACACTTTCACTACTGCGCCTGCGCAACCCTGATATACGTCACTGAGAGCTGTGAACGCTGCATTAATCACTGCTGCTACAAGGTAAACACAAATAAGACATATTAATGAAGTAAATAGTTATGTTAAACATAAAAATATTATATATAATAAAAACGTGAACAGTTTACAGTCAGATAAAAAAATTATTGTCTCCTATTGTATTGTACTGTAATATGCACTGCATTATAACAGTGAGTCAGTTAAAAGATAAGCTACCAAAAGTTCCAAAGAAAATATAAAATATATAAGCATCAGCGTTATAAAGTCTTCAACGTCGATACGTTCAGTATAATACATATATAAGTGTATATATGGTCCATTTTTAATGTTTTAAAGTACTCCTGTCGTACTTATGGTTTAAGCTAATGTTTGTGTGCACACCGAGGTGAAGCTAAAATGGCGGCTGTAGTTTTCTCCGTTCTATATTGAATGGAACGAATGGGACTCGGAAGAACAAAGAAACTACACTTCCCATAATTCCCTCTGTCACGACACGAAAGAGCTGAAGGATAGCTGCACTCAAGAAGCACCGATGTAAGGTAAGTTAAGCCGGATTTTAAAACTCTTCATAGCTTACATATTTGCCTTTGCTCGCAAAGATACGGTTTTATGTTTGCTCTCGACTCAGTTTGTGTTATCTCGAGCAACTACAACATTTCAGGAGCTCATTACTCGTTAGCTAGCGTTAGTTAGCGTTAGTTAGCTCGACGCTAACGCGCTGTAAGACCCGCTGTTTGGTGCCGTGAGACGTTTTCAGTGGTGTTTAGCTGTGCAGGGGGAGAGAGTGGAGGACATTAGGCTGGTTTAGTGTAATTAGTGTTTTAAAGGGCTGTGAGTTCCGTGCGTGCGTAGTGGAGAGAGGGGGAGAGGGGGAGAAGGGAGAGAGAAGGATGGCTGGTTAGCTGGATGTTAATGAGTAAGGTAACCTAGCTAGGTTAAGTTCTTAAAGATACGGTTTTATGTTTGCTCTCGACTTAAACTCTGTGTTATCTCGAGCAGCCACAACATTTCAGGAGCTCATAACTCGTTAGCCAGGTTAGTTAGCTTGACGCTAACGCGCTATAAGGCCCACTGTTTGGTACCGTGAGGCTTTTTCAGTGATATTTAGCTAGAGAGAGAGAGAGAGGAGGACATTAGATTGGTTTTGTGTAGTCAGAGGTTAAAGGGCTGTGTGTTCCGTGTGTAGGGGAGAGAGAAAGAAGTGGGGGGAGGGGGCTGGTTTGCTCGATGGTAATGAACTATAAGGCCCACTTTTGTAACCTCAAGCTTAGTTTGTGTGTATTTAGTTTAGGGAGAAAAGTGTGTTGGATATTTTATTGGTTTCATGTGATCAAAGTTTTTTAAAAAGCTGTATGTACATTTTAGAGAGAGAAAGCTGTGTGGAGATTATCTTATTAATCTAACTTAGCTGAAAAATATAGCAGGGTAAGACTTACTGTTCTTATCAGGTATTTTATTAATTCAAATAATCAGAGTATTAAAAGGGCTGTGGATTTTGTGCGAGCGTGTGCACAGAGAGAGAGAGAGAAAGAGAAAACAGCCATGGAGCTTAACTGGATGACAATTGACTGCAAGGTGGGGCTGAAATATTTGGTAAAATATCTGATTGCAGTTCATCTGACAAAGATTGTATCTGTTTATTTGATCTGTTACTGATTTCAGTAAACGAAAGGCATGTGTTGTGGCCAAAAGACCAGCACATCCATTTTTTTCGGCCGAGGCTTGAACTCTGAAAGTAGTGTGCCAACCTGCCAGTTAATGGTGATTGTGTTGTCCTGTACACAGTATACACAACAGAGGGGTCCTTCTGATTAGTCCGACTCATGTAGAGGTGGTTCAGAAGCTCTGTGTTAGGTTAAATTTCTGCACTTATAAATTCTTAAGACAGTGTTGTTCATCATGTAGGCTATGATTATTATTGTAACTCTTTGTGATTTGAAAATCAGTTAATCTTTCAGGTGTACTATAAGGCTCACTGCCTCGCTATATGTATATGTTTATATATGTTTTTATATATTTATGTATATGTTTATATATAGTTTTAGAAAGAGAAAGACAGTTTTGGAGAGAGAGTGAGGCCCTGATCTAGATTTGAGCTCTAAATATAAGAAGAGCTAATTCACACAGTTGCATTTAAGTCTACACTTACAGTAAATTAATTAATATTTAATAATATAATACATTACAAGCATTGTTTTTGTTATGGTTAGAACTCTTTTCTTTGCACTGGCCTATTATCAAGACCTGTTATTGATTTAATCTTGTCATTCCATTTAGCTTCTTTTCGAAATAATTTTTATAATATCATATGAAAAATGCTGTTCCTACTTGCAAATATATGTTGATCACATCTCACTAGGAGAAAATAGTATTGGAAATCTTAAAATTCTGTTTATTACAGCTTTTTCTTGGCCATACAAATGTTTTTTGCTGTTCCATGTGGCCTTCAGATACTCTCAGTTGCAGGAGGAGAGGATAAAATGAGAAGGAGGAGGGTGAAACCACTTGATGAAGCAGTACAGCATGTCACCAGTGCAACTGACAAGACTGATGTATTGGAGAGTAAATTAATAAACCCTTATAAAGGTAGGCCTGGTGCAACCTTTCTTGTGGTGAAGTCTTCAAGCAGCAGTAAGAAACATCAGTTCTGTTTTGTTATGGTTTTGCCTGCATACTTACATTAGAGTAAAGAAAATAATTTCTCTTGCCGTTTTGGGGGCATGCAACTAAAATACAAACCATTTGTCCAGAACACAAGTGTATATAGTAGTAGACTAGTTGTTTGTACCAGTGAAATGCACGCAAAATCCAGCTTAATAATGTTTGTAAAATACGGTTATCTGCTGCTAAATGTTGTGTTTTTGATATGTTAATTTGAATATTTTTGTTTTATTATTATTATCCACATTTGAATTGGCCACTGCCTGGTGCAGTTCACTTTTCATTTGCGTGAAGTTCAAAAATCCTTTTCATCTATTTTGCTCGACTGCCACGCCTACAGTCCTCTGTGCTGAAGCTGGTTTATGTAATATTGTGTACACTAAATCTACAGGTCATGGTGTATTTGCCCTGGCTTCTTTGAATAAAGGAGATTTTGTGGTTGAATGCAGAGGTGAACTGATAGACTTTCTTGAATCAGGGAGAAGGAGGAAGGTCTCCCGAATTAATGTATTACTTTTGGCAGAATAAACAGTGGTGGTAAGTTTCAGAGATGTTAGATGATTACATGTTAGTGATTATCATAGAAGGTATTTTGTAGAATTTTTTTTTTTGTCGAAAATTTAGCTTGTGGTTTTAAACTATCATTAACCATATGAAATGAAATTATTTTATAGTATTAACTATGCTAGAGTATAGTTTGGATTTCAGTAGGGGTGGGCAATAAGGCCTTGAAATAATATCACAAAATTTTGGGATATTTTTTGCAGTAACAATATTAACTAATTAACTAAAGAAAGCTCTGAAATTATTTCCGTTCATTTAAAATACTTTATCATATTTTGCTGCAGATAGTGAATTCTTAAGTACTAATTCCAATAAATGTGCACTAATTTAACCTTCAAAAAGCTGACAGTGAGAACGATGCACTTGCCACATGGTGGAGGCTGCATAACTTCTTATTGTCAGCAAGTTAGCCAGTAAATATCTGTGCATATCTCTGCCATCATGCATCTGCTGAGAGAGGATTCAGCCCTGTTTGCAATATTGTAGCTTTTGAAGCCAGCGTCAGGGAACATGCTTGTTTTCTTGGTAAATAAAGGTTGCAGACCACCTGTCAGAGGAGCTCAAACAAACATCTCAAATGATTTAATAGGGTATTTTGTGGTCACAGTATTTTTCGACGTTTTGCAAAGTACTGTTATTTGTTTGGGGTCTAGCCTTCTGTAGCCAAGAAACTTCCACACTACTAACATGTCTCCCCTTTTAAGAACCAAGTTGTCCTCAGTGCTAGTGATACTGTTCTCTGTATGGCAAAATCCTATTGCATTTAAAAAAGTACCAGTGTTAGTATTATGTTGCCCACCCCTATTTT